CTATCAATGGCCGTGAAAGCTTCAAATCTAGTATATATATATATATATATATATATATATATATATATATATATATATAATATTAAAATATAATATTATTATACATTATTCTACTTAATATAAAAATGTTATTATCTTGCAGTTTCGACGAAGATCTGGAAATTTATTGTATGTTTAGCGACGATAAAGAGGAAGTGCCGATGCAGGAAGTTATCTCGACAGCTGCGGCGCGCGGATGCGTTGAACGATGGCTCCTTCAAGTAATTTCCCTTGATTTTATATATTTTTTTTCAGTTCCGTCACACAGAAAAGTTCATCACAGTTTATCACAGAAAAGTAACAAGACTGACCTTCCGAAATTTCGAAATCTTAGCGAATTGCACGCAAATTTCGATGTGCTGGCAAAATCTCGAGAGTTTCGCATTGAATCTCAATTACACAATGTTAATATATAAATTAATTCTTTTGTTAATTTTTGAAACTCTTAATGCTTCACATACACACACAGGTTGAAAAGGAAATGGTGACGTCGGTGAGAGAAGAGATTTATTTGAGCTACTTGGAGTACGAGAAGAAGGAACGAGTAGAGTGGGTCCTCTTGTGGCCCGGCATGGTCATCCTATGCGTCGCGCAGATTTACTGGAGTCTCGACGTACAAAGCTGCCTGGTCGGTCGCACGAGCTACGCGATGGAGTCGCTCTACGAGAAGCTGAGAAACCAGATCCTGAAGCTGGTCAATCTGGTGAGAGGTTTGTAACGTAATACAGCGCGAGAACCGTCGTTGCTCCCGTGAAGTTTCATCAGGGAAATGGATTTCGGCCGGCAGGACGACTTTCCAAGCAAAATCGAACGACATTGAACGCTCTGATCACCATCGACGTTCACGCGATGGACGTTGTGAAGTCCCTCATCGAGAAACAGATCGTCAACGAGATGGACTTCGAGTGGCTGTCGCAACTTCGTTATTACTGGGAGGACAACGTCTACGTTAGAATCATCTATTCGACGGTCAGATACGCGTACGAGTACCTCGGCAATTGCCCGCGACTCGTCATTACGCCGTTGACCGACAGGTACGTATCCCACGATGGACAGCATGATGATCCTTCATCGATGACAAGACTGTGAAAAAAACGAAGTAAGTCAGAAACGAGGAATAGAATTTTTTCGCATTGAATTGACAGTCAAATTTAAACGTCACGTAATTAACGATTTTACTCTGTGCTTTGAGATTGCGCAACGATAAGCAACGAATGAGAGTGACACCTACGATGACACTCGCACCGTCGATCAATAGATTTGTTTCAACAAACAGCCGAATAAAAATACGGCTTTTACTTAAAAAAATAAACGTGATATATTTTACAAAGAAATCTCTCGACCATTATTGTCTAGTTTTTTTTAATAGAATAGAATATTTTTTATACTTACATGTTATCGTTATTATTACTTATATTTTGGTGATTTAAAAATAGTTAAAAACGTGGCAAAGATATCGATTTGTCAACTTACAAGAGAAAACATTTACTTCACATATTTAACTCATTGTTAACCATCACTCTGCCAATTTAACAGTAGTTATCATCGATAACGGATCACCGTGTGCTAATAAACGCCAAAGGTAATATCGACACTGATCGCAATGTCGTTTCCGAAAGGTGTTACCGCACGTTGATCGGCGCGTACTCGTTGCACTTGAATGGCGCACCTGAAGGGCCGGCTGGTACCGGCAAGACTGAAACAACGAAGGACCTGAGTCGAGCCATCGCCGTCCAGTGCGTAGTCTTTAATTGTTCCGAGGGGCTCGATTACAAAAATATGGGCAAGTTCTTCAAGGGTCTGGCGAGTTGCGGCGCATGGTCCTGCTTCGACGAGTTCAATCGTATCGAGCTGGAGGTTCTGTCGGTCGTAGCGCAACAAATTTTGTGCATAATACAGGTAGTTGAACTACAATAACTTCTCAAGATCATAGAAGGAGGAGGGCATACTAGGTGGCGGCGGGCCGCCGTGCGTTCGAGATCTGCGTATCTTTTTCGTTCCAGAAAGAGAAAAATATCGAGAGCGCGGTCTTGCTAGGCCGGGACTCGAACCCGGGTCTTTCGCTTGCCGGCCGACTGCTCTAAACCACTGAGCTACCTGACGCTCCACGCTCACGACACTCTCCTCTTCCTAGATAACGCTCAGAGATGCCGTTCGGAAGCGACATCTCTGGCGCGATCCCGAGCGCACGGCGACTACAGAGAGAAACAATGTTACTGTACCAAATGGTACAGCTGTCAGTCTCTCAAAGTCAAAGGTTGCTATCCTTTAAGGCTCCTGGGGAGTCGCATCATCCATCTCTTTTTAATGACGTCAGAAGCGAGAAAACGCATGCTAAAAATTCCTGCAAAATACGTCGAGATAAACAGATATATCCACAAAACGACATTTGCGATCGATTAAGTACACCTCTAAAATACTCCGTACACTTTCCTTTTGTTCTAAAAATCAATAGATAATCGGAAAATTAATATGACAAGATAATGAGGAAATTAGGTTAGAAAAGACGATTGCACGTCACATTTATTTTATAATTATCTGTTGATTGTTAGAACAAAAGGAAAGTGTACGGAGTATTTTAGAGGTGTACTTAATCGATCGCAAATGTCGTTTTGTGGATATATCTGTTTATCTCGACGTATTTTGCAGGAATTTTTAGCATGCGTTTTCTCGCTTCTGACGTCATTAAAAAGAGATGGATGATGCGACTCCCCAGGAGCCTTAAGACCTGCTGTCCATGTATGCCCGTCTCCACCGTTGCCCCTCGATTCATGATTTACTTTTGTAAATGAATCGAGATCACATCTTTAAACGCATGCAACGTTCTCTAAGAAAATACACGCATACATAGGCGGTACGTGCCGGTTTGGAGACGTTTATCTTCGAAGGCACCGAATTGAAGCTGAATCCAGCGGTTTACGTGTGCATCACGATGAACCCGGGTTACGCCGGTCGGTCAGAGTTACCGGATAACTTGAAGGTCCTATTTCGTACAGTCGCCATGATGGTGCCGGATTACGCGATGATCGCCGAGATCTTCTTGTATTCGTCAGGCTTCGGCACCGGTCGTGACCTCTCCACGAAAATTGTCACCACGTACAAGTTGTGCTCAGAACAGTTGTCGTCGCAGTCGCACTACGACTATGGTATGCGAGCCGTCAAGACCGTTCTGTCGGCAGCGCAGAATCTGAAGCTCAAGCATCCTGATGACGACGAGGCGGTGCTGCTGCTGCGCTCGCTGATCGACGTGAACCTGCCCAAGTTCCTCGCACACGATGTACCGCTCTTTCAAGGCATCGTATCCGACCTGTTCCCGGGACTGTCAGTACCCGCGCCTAGTTACGACGCGCTACTCGCCGCGGTGAACGACGTTGCCCATCAGCGGAATCTCCGTGCGGCGAACGTGTTCCTGCTGAAGGTTGTGCAGACCTACGAGATGATGATGGTGCGCCACGGCTTCATGTTAGTCGGCGAGCCGTTTGGCGGCAAGACCTCCGTTCTGCACACCTTGGCGGACGCGCTCACGCTCATGCATGAGCGCGGCGACGAGAACGGCGCGATCACTACGTACTTTGTGCTGAATCCCAAGGCCATCACGTTGGGTCAGTTGTACGGTTACTTTGACCCGGTGTCGTTTGAGTGGAGCGACGGGATATGCGCGCAAGTGTTCCGCCGCTTCTCCAGCGAGGACACGCCCGATCGCAAGTGGATCGTCTTTGACGGGCCGGTGGACGCTGTGTGGATCGAGAGTCTGAACACGGTACTCGACGACAACCGTAAGCTCTGCCTCACATCGGGTGAGGTGATGCGTATGAGCGACACCATGTCCATGATCTTCGAAACGATGGACTTGGTGCACGCGTCGCCCGCCACGGTCTCTCGTTGCGGGATGATTTACGTCGAGCCACGTGCTCTCGGCTGGGAGCCTTTCCTCGAGTCCTGGATTATCGGATTGAATCCTGAATGGGCGGCCGAGAATACAATGATCGAGGAACTCTTCCGTTGGCTGATGAGACCGTGCTTGGAGTTTATTCGCAAGGAGTGTCGAGTGACCGTGGACGCCGGGGAAATCCACCGAGTGGTGTCGACTATGTCGTTCTTTGAATTGCTCATTGAGGACGCCGTGAGGCAAAGTCCCGGTGCGTACGACCAGCACCTTCCAGCCTGGTCCCAAGCCGCCATGATCGTCTCCATGGTGTGGGGTGCGGCCGGCACGTTGGATCGGGAGTCGCGAGGCAAATTCAACGCGTTCTACCTGAGCCTCTGGAGAAACGAGAACCCGCAGTTACCTGCGCCTGACTGTGTGACTGCAGATCCGATTTCTCTGCCGGGCGAGGAGCCGATTCACGATCAGTACTACAACTTTCGCGGCAGAGGGGCGTGGCGACGGTACTCCGAAGCTGCCAAAGCGCAACAGTTCCCGGAAACCGAGAGTATCTCGCGCACCATTATCCCTACGATCGACACGGTGAAGTATCAGAGCGTGATGGCGATGCACATCAGGCATCACCGGTGCTTTCTACTGTACGGCGACACTGGCACTGGTAAAAGCATCTATGTGAAGGACATGTTGACCAACAAGCTGGACGAGGAGAAGTACTTGCCGAACCTTATCACGTTCGCGCCGAGGATCACTGCGGCGCAGACACAGGAGCTGGTGTTGGTGAAACTGCACAAGAGACGAGGAGGGACTCACTTTGGCCCACCGCTCGGCATTCGCTGCGTCGTTTTCGTGGACGAGGTGAACGCGCCAACGAAGGAGATATACGGCGCGCAACCGCCGATCGAGTTATTGCGTCAGTTCCTGGATCACGGAGTCTGGTTCGACTTGAAGAAGCCGGACCCTATCACCGTGTTAGACACGATGCTCGTGTGCGCGATGGCACCGCCCGGTGGTAGGAGACAGGAGATCTATAGACGTTTTCTGCGTCACTTCAACATGTTCACCATCTGCGACTTCACGCGCGACACCCTCTTTCGGATCTTCACGAATCTGGCGTTCGTGGGATTGAAGCAAAACGGCTTTACCGCCGGTGTGTTGCCGATCATCAACGACATGGTGAACGCCACAACGCGCGTCTATAACCACGCGATGGAGCATCTACGTCCGACGCCACTCAAACCGCACTATCTTTTCAACCTACGTGACTTCGCACGTGTCATCACCGGCTGCACCTTGCTAAGGAAGGAATCCGCGGAGACTGGCAAGAAGGTCTTCTGCAAACTGTGGGTGCACGAGGTGCTGAGAGTGTTCGGCGACCGGCTGATCGACCAGCCAGATCGACGTTGGCTATTCCAAGAGATCAAAACGACCGTGGAAAGTGTTCTGAAGGAGCGTTTTGACACGCTGCTGGACCACTTGCCCAAGTACAATGACCAGATCACGGAGGAAAGTCTCAATGACCTAATCTTCGCCAATTTTATGGACCCAGAGGCGACGATGGAGGACCGACTTTACGAGGAGATACCGTCGCTGGAAGAATACCAACGATCAGGCCTCGTGTTCCTGCAGGAATATAACGATACTCATCGCGACAAGATCGACATCACGCTGTTCCATTACGCGCTGCAGCATCTCGCCAGGATCTACCGTGTGCTAACCATCCCGTGCGGCAACCTGCTGATGGTTGGTACCGGCGGATCAGGTAGGCAGAGCTTGACAAAGCTTTCCTCCGCCATAGCTGGCTACGATCTACGTCAGCCGGAGATCACTGGCACATACGGCATGCAGGAGTGGCGGGAGGACGTGAAATGGGCGCTGAAGAACTCCGGCGGAGTCGGCAAGGACCTCGTGTTCCTGCTGACCGAGGAGCAGATCCGCGACGACGCGTTCCTCGACGACGTGGACAGTTTGCTGAACGACGGCGAGGTGCCGAATATCTTCAACGTTGAGGAACGGCAAGAGATTATCGAGATGACGCGACTCGCCGCGCAGGGCGGCGATCGCAACCTCGACATTTCCGTGTTGAGCGTGCTGGCGTTCTTCGTCAGCCGTTGCCGTGAGAAGTTGCACATCATGCTGTGTTTCAGTCCGATTGGCGACGCCTTTCGGATTCGTCTAAGAATGCATCCCGGTCTGGTGAATTGCTGCACCATCGACTGGTTCGACGCTTGGCCGGAGGATGCACTCGAGCAGGTAGCACGACGTACTCTCGTCGACCTCGAGCTCGCTGAGAACGTCAAAGACGAATCCGTGGCGGCCTGCAAGTTCTTCCACGGTTGCGCGAAGGACGTGAGCGTCAGGTTCTATCAGCTCACCGGCAAGAAAACCTACGTAACTACCGCCTCGTTCCTCGATCTCATGCGAATGTTCGCCGATCTGACGACGGAGAAACGACGGGAGATCGCTCAAACCAGGTAACTATCGACGATATCAGTATACAATACAACATTTCCAGAACAAAATTAATTCATTATTCGAATCTTGTTTGTTTTGTTATAGAGAACGGTACATAAACGGCCTGGACAAGCTGAAATTCGCGGCCGAGCAGATCACTCAAATGCGCATCACGCTGACGGAGCTCAGGCCACAACTCGAGGCGTCAGCCAAGGAAACAGCGGAGACGATGCAGCAGATCGAGAAGGAGGACGCGAGTGTGAAGCAAGCGACGATTCTGGTGAAGAAGGACGAGAACGTGGCTAAAGCGCAAGCCGAAGTCGCCATGCAGTTGAAGAAGGAATGTGAAGCCGACTTAGCTCAGGCTTTGCCGGCTTTGAACGAAGCCATAGGTATCATTTTCTTATTTTTTTATCGTGTACTTCGTTTTCTTTTTTATTCATCCTCTTGCTCTTATAATTTTCTCTTTCCTCCATCTTTGATTCCGTAATACTAAGATAATTTGCAAATTCAAGATCTTATCTTTAAATAAGCGATTGTTAATAATATTATTAACTTTGGGATTAATTATTACTCGCTTTTACGTAGCGTACTTTTTTTATTTTTAGCAAAATATTCTGGATTAATAATTATTGTAAATCACAGCTGCGCTCGACACCTTAAAGCCGGCGGATATTGCCGTGGTGAAAACTATGAAGAGTCCTCCAGAGGTCATTAAGCTGGTTATGGCCGCCGTGTGTGTGATGCTGAACGTACCGCCAATCAGGAAGGATGATCCAGTCACTGGTGCTAAAATTCTCGATTATTGGACGCCCAGCAAACGTATACTCGGCGATATAAAGTTTCTGGATAGTCTGCGGCAATACGACAAGGACAATATCCCGGACCTCATAATACAAGTGAACACGCAGGCGACTTAAGTCCATTAGAAATTTTCCCAAATATAATATATAAATATTTATGAACTCAATTATATAAATTTTCATAAATATATAATTGTATAAACCCAGCAAACACAGATATAGTATAACAGTTACATTGCCGTAATGAAACGGAATGTAACATGCAATATAACATGTATGTAGTAGGTTATATAGATGTTCGTTGTAATTTCCTACTCACATATGTTACAGTTATATAACGTGAGTATAACATAAAAGTAACATGTGACTAAAAAGTTATATAAAAGTTATATGTTATTTGTTAGCAAATTAACACATATATTTTTTTGTTGAATTCCAACGATTTATTCATTAGTACGGTTCAGATAA